CAGAACAGAAGTAAACATTAAGTGCAATAGGTCAGAGAAAGACTGTGTGACTTTTCAAAAGGGGAATTGTATCTTATGGTATGGATATCTGCATATTTTGTTCGCAGAGAATTATTAAATTATTTCTGGATGATAATGAATCAGAATTTTCCTCCTAAGTTTTGAAAACTGGACATTAAAATGATTTCTCAAAATACAGTGGGTACTTTCACTATTTGACCAACTAGATTCATTTTATAATATATACAGAACAGGTGTCCAAATAGCTGCCATTTGGATGGTGGCTTATTGCATTTCCCAACATATTTACAACGGTATAACCAGTCTACAAATTACTGCCTGTACTCTGAAAAGGAACATCTGGACATCAGCTTGTCAAATCATCTGTCCAATTCAAAAGTCAAAAGGGGAGAATAACTGAAATCTGACAGCAGAAAACTTCTACATGTACTGTAACTGGACTGGTTGTTCTTGTACATATTATAAATTCTATCATTGATTATCAACAATCACCTTATTTGTTGTGTAACTGTCCCAGATGATTAGTTTTCCATCTTGCGAGGCACTGACAAGTAACCTGGAAACAAGTTAAGAACAGCAGCATGAGGCTAAGGTCACACACTAAAAACAAACACACATTTAATCTAAAAGGTACATGCACTTGGATCATTAAAAGCAATGAGAGCCAGCCACCTTGCAGACTACTGTGCTACACTGTCTGAGTGAGTGTTAGGTGCTCTGTCAAACAGCATTCAGCGTGAGCTCCCTACTCTTCCCTCCCAGTCCCCATTTCACTCCATTTCCCCCCCTCTTTTTCCCCCACCTAGTGGAAGTTTCCTCATCCAGGGAAGCCACTTTTAATGTCCTACTCCATCTAATATTCATTACCCCCGTTATGTAAAAGTCCCTACTGTTGAGTGGGAGGTGGAAGCCTGAGGGGTTGGGAAAGCACTAGAAAAAAGCTGAGGTGGGGCCGCAAGAAGGGACAGCAAAAAATGAAGACAGAGAAGAGGATGAAGTAGAAACAGTCAGTAAAGAGTGAGAGTTATAGGTGGTACAGATGCGGAAACAGCTGGAAACCCTCCCTCCAATCCTGACTGGGTGTTTCCATCTCTCCGGGGACAGGAAGTAGTTTGATGGTGCTATGCTACAATCAAGAGGAGAGCCATCACGCTCAAATGTCAGTGGCTGTATACAAAATAAACACTGGCCTCCTGCAGGGTCACCCAGAGGGTGCTAGGCACACACACACATGCACACAATCGCACAAATACATACACACACCCCCACACACTTAACAGAACAATCAGGATTGAACAGCCAATACCAGTATTTAGCTTTGTAATCACACTTTGTTAGACTCAAACACAGGTTTTAGTGGTGAAAAAAGAGAGAACTAATTTGCCTAAACAGAAGTGAGTGAACTACCATATGTTTTCTAAAAATCTACAAAAGGTTTACCAGAAAAACATAACTACTTTTTGGTGACACCCTCTACCTAGTTCATTTCCAATGGATCAGTGCACTGCATGCATAATATTGGGAAACTGTGATCTTGACTGATTATTCTTGGTGCTCGTAACAGCAGCAAACAGTTAAAAAAGCAGTTTGTAAGTTATAATTTAAGGACAACTCAATGGGTACATCCACAGTTTCGCACAGATTAATTTTAAATCATCATAACATCTGGAAAACGGTCAAAGATTTAGATCTTACAAACTGCATCTTTAAGGAAATACTGAATAAGCTGTGGCTGCCTGTCTCTGTGCCCAGTGAACATCATTACTGTGCTCCTAGTGAGGGCGTAAAACAGTGCTAGCACTTAGATGTACAGTAGTAGTGGAGGTGGCAGTAGTGACAGTCAGTTATGGTGGTATTAGTCATATTAGTAGAGTAGTAGTAGTAATAATAATAGTAGTAGTGGTACTAGTAGTAGTATAGCCCCACACCTGGGACTGCCGTCACTGTCCCAGTGCATTGCATTTGGAGACAGATGGACAGAGAGAAAGATAAAGAGTGACACAGACATATTAAACACAGAAATAAATTTGTTAATAACAGTGATACAAGCTTTTGAGACTCCCCACATTTTTTATCAGTCTGTTTTGTAGTGAGAGTTGTAATTTGGTACCGATTATGTTGCCATTACTGAAAGATATTGATAGTCAAGTTGGTTGTATTACTTAGGTATTACTACTAATGTAAGAATTAAGCAATTAACTAACATTTCTGAGACACACATTAAGCCAATACCAGACTGGAGATTTTACTGTAAAATGCCTGCACTGTGGCTGAAGGTGTGTCCATGTTTGGCTGGAATGGAAACCTGCACACTGTCAGCCCTTGGAGGCACTTTATTGCCCATTCCTGGCATACTGTAGATCTTGACAGTTATAGCTGTAGTGTTAACAGTCACCATGCTGTCACTGGCAGTCTAGAAATTCAACAGTCCCAGGGGAAAAATTACCTTCAGTGTTTGCACAATATAATACAATTAAGAAAGAGAATTGGACTAAACTGTGATTATTATTAATTATTATTATTATTATTATTATTATTATTATTAACATCCCTTTGTGCATTTCTTGTGCGTGGGTAATTCATGTTAACAACAAAACAGATAATTTTGTAAAAGTGTGCTGAGGGAAAGAACACATCACAAAGAAAACACCAAACACTGCATCAAAACAATATTATGCTGAAAAACATTTAAGCAAGTTAACGACAGACTGAGGGTACAAACTGCAGTAATCTCTTCTGTAAGATCTCCCAAAACTTTACAGAAATGGGGAAAAAGATAAATCATTAAGTATAGATTTTACATCTAACAATTTACATAAATGCCTGTAAATAATAACACACAACAAAAAAATTAATCAGATCAAAGAAAATAAGAATACCCCAGTGGATTATAAAGGTCCATGTCCTGTCCTGCTCTTAGCTAATAATTGTGTCTGTAGAATAACTACAATACCTGGAGTCGCTCCCCCAGTGCATTGCATAGATCTTGGCCAGGTGGCCCCTGAGAGTGCGTCGCGTTCGCATCTGTATCCGGCCCACTGAGTCCAGACCAGCTGTGATCTGCCAAAACACAGGAAGAAGCGTTAGCAGTGACACTCAAGGCCCACACACACACTTTTATCACCACAAACACACACATCACTGGACTGGACTCTGGCTGAGGCAGCGAAAACAGGCCAGTGTCACTCAGCAATGAACAATGATGAATAATAGTGGAGTGTATATTGGTGTATGATGTCTTTGGAATATGTGTTAGTTTGTGCATGCTGAGGGCAGGCCCGGGAAAAATTTCTAATGTCCATTTTGACAAACACATTTTTCGCGGGTATTCAAAAAATATTGTGCAGCTTCAGAGCTGTCCACATTTGGCATTATGGCAACTATTGAAAACTAAACTGAACGGACTATATGACTAATTAATGGGTCAAAACTTAATTCATGGTTTTCATAGATGTATTTAAAGTGCTTTAACTTTGGGAACCTCAATTTGTTTTACACGCACATTTATTTATTTTTGCATAGTTTGAGCCACTTTGAGTCATTTTAAAGTCTTGAACACTCCTTAAGCAACACACTGTAGTTGCTACTGTGAAAATTTGTAGAACTACATTGTAAAACAGACCACTAATTGTTTACAAAAGTATGTGGACTGGAATGCTTACCTGTGACAGAGTGGAGTCACTGCAGGCTTTCCTCGCATCCTGCGACACAACAAAAACCTTAATAATCATGTTGACCAGGTCACTGGATAGCTACATTTAACACGGGTAATTTTTGCAGACAAACCTCAAAACATAAATGACAAAAATTGCTTCTAAATAAACAATAAAACATGTGCTATAACTTATTGCCAATCAAAGACACTGAATATCTCAGTGGTCACAGAAAAATCACACAGCGGCAGCAGCTGACATTTATAGATGTCCAATTTCTCCACGAGAATGGAAGTAGCTGGAGTGACAAGTTATATGTCGAGTGCGTCACTGTCTCATCTAAAACTGTGTGAGTCACAGCTTGCAGTTATTAGACATTGGCACATGTGTGATGTACAAACACACACACACACACACACACACGTCAACATAAACAAACACATGCACTCAAAATGTTGCCGTACCCGGATCTGATTGCGTAGTTGCTCGGCTTCCTGCCGCAACTGTTCCAGCTCGCTCATTGTCCCTCTGTGATGTGTTCAGGCCACACTCTCCGCTCCAAATACTGACTGGGCTGGGAAAACACACGTGCCTGCACGCACACACACACACACACACACTCTCTCACACACACCCTCTCACACACCCACACACGCTTAACCAGCTGACACCTGCAAGACAGAGAGACAGAAATAATATGAGTTCAACAGGCGGATGGAGAGTGAAGGATGGGAACAGCCATCAGACAAACATAGGTATCCTGTATGGGTTCAGACCAAAAGAGAGTGCTGCAAAGGGTGGGGCTGGGTGGGGACCTGGAGGGTGGCCTGGCTCTTCAAACACCCCCAGTCTGGTTCAAAAGGCCATCTGAGCCAGGCTCTGACCTTTCCTGACTCAATCAGTCTTTTGTGTTGTTGCATTGCGCTGTTTGCTCGGCCCGCCCCAAAGAGCTCTGAACACGTGTGTGTGTGTGTGTGGTGTGTAGTGTGTGTTGTGGTGTGTGTGTGTGTGTACGTACTGTGGGCTGATCTGGAAGGTTTATTAGACAATATGTCCGAAAGAGAACATTTGTGCATATATTTATCTGCGTGTGTATACATTATGGGAGCATTTATTTAAATGTGTGCCTGGGTTAAGTGTGTCAGATTGAGCATCTGTCTGTACATGCATGTGTGTGTGAGTATGCATGTGCAAGTTGCCTCTTTCTTTACCTTGGGGAGCCAGATGAATGTGGGTCACAAAGCACTTAGACACTCCACAGAACTGTTTGGACCACGCCCCGCAACCCCCCTCTGCGCAATACTCATTTTCCAAGCTGTTTTACAGTCTGCTGCCCAGAAGTCTAACCCTCCGAGATTAAATTTTTAGTTCCATTTTCTATAATTCAACAATTAGACCAAGCCCAGCCCTTCCTCTCCACAGGAAATCATGTTAATGTAAAGAGGAGGTTGTTTGTGCGTTATCTTCATTTTTGCAGAGGCTTTAAAACCATTGAATTGCTTTACCACAAAAAAACAAATAGCAAATAAGTAAATAAGAAAATGTGATGTTCACGCTGCTAAGACTCCCTTTTAAGATACTGCAAGTGTGTGGAAAGCTACTCTTTTAGACTCCGGGTTCGGGCTCTGCTCTGCTTGGACTGCTCATCGTGGACTCTTGTCTCAGCCAAAGAGGTCTTTGACAGTAACGAGGCATCGGGGATAGCGAGCGTTGCAATGCTTTCAGCTGCCCGGGAGTGACGTCACTCTCTCCTCCGGCTGACGCAACTCCCCTAAAGAGAGGCTCTCAGCGTCAGCTCGCCTGTGATGTGGTATTGCTCTATGACTGCCATGGATCCATTATGCTGTACGCCTCTGAAATCTGCCACGTCACACAAAGCGCCTTGTGGACTACCAAAACACCCGATATGACCTTCCACACCACGCATGCTAAATATTTTCAATCGATGTTTTCAGCCTGAGGCTTGTGTCGTGAAAGGCAACGGAGTTCACAAGAGAGATGAGGTGGAAAATAACGCAGGTATGATGGAAGATGATGCTGACAAACGTGACGTGTGGGGGGTGCTTTCCCATCACTTCGGATAAAGCTGACATCTCTGATTTTACGCATGCCATGTCAGTGATTTGCAAAAGATTCTTGTTCACATCTGGATACTAAATTAGTCATTAGTCATTCTGAAACCAAAACTGTAACCACATATTAACCGCAGGCAAAAGAAGCTGTCGCACAGATAAACGGTCTACAAAAGGACTATATAAAATTTAACAATTTACAGTTGTAAATCTCAGTGAGCAAGCTTATGTGTGTGTCTGGAGTCGTGTAGCCACCCGTCCAGCCGGGCAAACTCAGGCCCGGAGCATGGCACAGTATCAGGGGCGACAAAGGCAGAGCTGTGTGTCGGAGCTGCCTATTGTTTAGTATGTGGCTGCCAGCTACAGTAGATAGTGCTGCTTGGCACCACCACAGTTGGGCCTCGGGAGACTGGCCATAGGAGGCTTTTATTGCTATTGCCCTTCTGACACCAACCGACCACCCATCCATCCAACATGGTCAGCCTTGAAGCTCCCAGCAGCCAGCAGGAGACCACGGGGTCCTGAATTAGGACCAAACAACTGCCCTCTGCATAAAAGTGTAGGGTCCAGACATAGATGCACAGAGGCAGAAGTAGGCATACCCACACACTGTGTCTTTGCATCACATTTATAAAGGCTGTGTATACACATAAATCTCTGTCACTAGTTAGACAGAAGGCGATGAGGCGTATACAGCATGTCGGTCAGTGAAAAGACTGCAAAGAAGAGCGTTGCAATTTTACTTCATGTCGGTTTCATGTGTTTTGACAATGTCAGAGGAGCTTATACGTGACCATTACACAAGGTTCTGGTTATATAGTATTCATAACTAAAAACTGTATCACACATGTATCACTTAGCAATTATTGTCTATAGCATCATCGTCAAACCTAAAATGTAATCATGTAATAACTAAAGCACTTATCAAAACGGTTTAACTGCTTCACAAAAAATAAGTAAATTATTACACAGATCATACCCCCCCTGGGGCATTCTTTCACAGTTTACTTTCTGACATTTTATTTTTACCACACAATTAAACCATTAATCAAGAAAATAATCTGAAGATTAATAATGAAAACAACTGTCAGTTGTAGCCCTGTAAAGTGCACACATCTGGTGTTTTATAATTGATTCATTCAGGTTAACAATGACTGTAAAAGGAATGTTTATGAGAAAGGCAAACTTTCACTTTCATTTTCTACCACTCAAAGACAAGGAGAAAGAGAGACACGCAGAGAGATCTCCTTAACTGCTCCATAGTAAGGTCATTCACAGTCACTATGGTCTCCAGTTCTAACAATGAAGCTTGGTCACAATTTGTTACAGGAAACCTCCACTGTCCCCTCAGTGCGAGTCCCTGCTGACTCAGTGAGTAGCTCTTGTTAAGCAGGAAATATATAACCCTAAGACAGTAATCGCTTCAAGTGAACGTTTAACTAACGTCTAAAAGCAGATCAAAGTGTTTCAATTCGAGTTCACAAACGGATTCACATCAGATGAAAACATGCTGGAGTCTTAAAGAAGCAGTGTGTAGGATTTAGTGGCATCTAGCGATGAAGCTTTCCAAGTATGTAGGAAAAACTATGGAGGCTGCGAAACTCGTGAAATGTTTGGTTTATTCATTCTGGTATACTGTAGAAACATGGAAGGAGATAAAAACGGCTCATTCTAAGGCAACAAAAATGCAAAATTCTTATTTTCATGTGATTTTACACTATTGAAAACATACCAATAAATATTAAGCCGCTTTTCCAGCACACGGTATGGCTCGACTCAACTTTACTGCCTCTTCTATGGTTTTCCATTACGGATAGTACCCGATTCTTATTTTGGTGCCAAGGCTCCCAAACGAGCTGAGCGGACACTAAAAGTTGATGTGAAAACACTGCACACCACCGATTGGTCAAGTGACAACGTGCAGATGTATCAAGAACACCATCCCTTCATATTGTATGGTATAGGAGCATTTTTGTGCACGTAGTTAGTGTGCAGCTTCTCAAGAACAACGTAAAGCTCCTGTGTGTTGTTTCCCAACTGCTGGAACAGCGGCGCTCTGACGCTCAGCCCCACCTACGCTGACGGCGTACTATCGAACGTGGTACAGTGGAATACGAAGTAGAGGTACCAAAAGCAAGTAGAGTCGGGCCGAACCATGTAGTGAAAATAATTAAATTGCTGCTAATAAGTCCTCCTAAATGTTATCCACTGGACCTTTAATGCTCATGAGCATGTTTTATATTTAACTAATTTGTCAATGAGACCTTCTGCTCCTGGGTCACATACAGCTGAAATTCAGTCACATCTGCCTCAATCATGAGCAAATACTGGTGAACGGAGCAGCAGGAGGTGCAGGCAATGCAGCTGCACCCGGAGCCACGGGGGCCTAACAACATGAAATGGTCAGGAAGTTAAGGAATTAACGTTATAAACAGCCAGATGTGAACAACTGTGAGGACTTTACACCATTGTTTACAGTAAAACTCGGTTCATCATGATCAACATTATCACATTGTATAAGTTGGACACACACCTTCTTATTTCCAATGGAGAATTATAAGACTTTGACCCTTCAAATTATTTTCGCTGACTCGAATAATTCACTGGTTTACACCTGCTATGTTCTCAAATGTTAGGATGTGTTTAATTTGTAATAAAATGTAAGATCGAAAGGCTCAAGAAGGATCAATATTAAGCTTGTTCCTTCTTCCTTATCCTGAACCAGAATCAGTCCTGTAGGGCATCTTAAATGTATGACAAACACTGCTGGAGGATTGATGAACATGCCCAGGTATTCATTAGATGATTTAAGTTTCAGTTGTGTTGAACATCTTACACACAAACATAACCCTACACCTATGACTGGTCTTGCCCTCACAGTATCTGTCTGAGGCAATTTCAGGATTCGCAAGTGCCTGTGCTGAATGGGCCCCCGCTGAAAAAGAGCAGGAAACTCGCCTTGGGTTTGGTGTGCGAAAGTGAAAACTAGATGTAGCGCGGGCTGCTCCACCAGGTGTAAACTTGTTCAGATAACCCACCGACTATTCCAAACATCCAGAGAATGGAGGAAATCCTTGGTAAGATTCCAGTAAGGTAAGAAACCACATTTCTTCCTCCTAGTCAGCTGACACGTGTTCGTATCATGTTGTTCATCTGAATTAGTGAAGTAAAGAAACAAAATAGGCAGAGCACCTAAGGCATGCTATTAGTCAGGTGGCCCTGACTAATGGAGGCGTTTCCACTGGACCCCAGCAAAATGATATAAAGTTTGATTTTTTGCTTATTATTACACAGAACTGACAGGAACACGGTGAATGAGTGTGTGATGAATGTATGACCTACTTTGTTCACAGGTTTCACTCCACCTACACCAGACAGTTACAGAATTACACATAATGCAGTCACACGTAACTCCCAATATAAAAAAAATAAATCTGCAGGAACCCCAGTTAGATGAGGCCTGTTTGGACAAGTCTGTTTTCTACAGGACATCCACAATTCCTTGAAGTGAACCATGAACCTTTTACATGAAAGTTTGAGATTTCCGCACTGCTGGACTAACAGGTGTTGTAGAGCTTGAAGATGCAGTACACTAGAGCTGGGCAGGATTATTAGTATAATACATGTTAAAACTAAAAAGGTACTCATTTTGGTAGATTTATTTAAAGATTATATGATCACATCATACAATTCAACTGAAGGTCGAAAATGATTATACACTTCAGTGACATACTGAATATTTTATCAGTCCAGCCCTGCGTGCAACATTATTATTGTCAGGAATATTTATTGTGTTTCAGTTTCCAAATCACTGTAAAAAGGTTTCCAATGCTGTCCTTTTCTGGCTGTAGGGCTGCAACTGACAATTATTTTCATCATGGATTCAGAAAATAGTGAAACAATTTCACAGAACCCAAGGTTGATGACTTCAAAACCCACATATATTCAATTAACAACGATATATGACTGAGAAAACTAACAAATCCTCACATTTGAGACACTGAAACCAGAGAGTTTTGGGCATTTTAGCTTTATAGTTAACCAAAACAATTACGCAATACTAAAAATTCTTGCCAGTTAATTTCCTGTTGATCAATTAATCGATTTATTGTCTCAAATCAGTCCAGCTTTACCTGTCTGTAAAGGCCATATTACAGTTCTACGCTGTCTAATCAATCACCCTACTGTCCACCTTTTAAACTTGATTATAAATATACCATTACATGAGCACCAACACCACAACTTAAACACCCTGTAGGTAAGTAACCAACCAGAAAAGCTGAAGATTGGAACTTTTACCAGCTGTAACTTTAACCCTGTAGATTGCACACACTGACAGTCAACAACAGCCCAGACAGGAAACCATCAGCTACATCATAATGGAGACACACAGGCTGCAGATGACTTTAACATGTATAAAAAAAAACCCATATCTTTATGAATTCATCTGAGTCGAGACACATAGTCTGACAACAAGCAACAAATTGCATGAGCCTCGCTACCAGTTGCCGCTCGGATGAAGGCGGACTGGCCATGTATATTTAATAAAAAAGGGGGGGAGAGAGGGAAAAAAAAAAAAGAAGCTACGCAGGGTGTCGTGCGACCACAAATGAGAAAACTGGTGTATGAAATAGGGGAATGGATGAATATGTGTCTTCTAGTGAAAGGTTTTGCACCCCATAGTTCCGCCTGAGTATCATTTGACAGCCTGTTTTTAAAAAATAATAATTAATAAAAAAAAAAAAAAAAGGCCGCGTTTGGAGAGCAGTGGAAAAAAAAAACCCCAAGCAATGAGACAAGAGTAGCCTGGGAACAGTTATGTTCAAGAGCTACTCACAGTACCGACAACATTTACAAAGCTCACGGACATTTCTGCATCTCAGCCACTTTAATAATATAAAGTATAAACATACGAAACCGCCGTGAGCGAAGCAGGAAATAGCCCCGAAAGCCACCAAAATATCAAGACGAGACTACGCGTCTCTTACCTGAAAACAGGCTCTCTCTCTCTCTTTTTGCTCTTTTCTTTGGCACTGTCCGTCCTTCCAGTCCGAGTCACACCGATCCGTTTTCACACGACAACCATGGCCACAGCTGTGAGAGAAACCGTGAATGGGAGACGTGTTAATTTTAAGACAATTTAATCGGTTTAAAGGGGCAGAAGCGAGCACAACTCGGGTCGGATTAGACTAAAAATTTTCACTAAGCAAGCTAATCACCACACCCATGAAAGTGGGAACATGGCAACAGCCTACGCTGAGGGGTGCGCGGTGGAGGATAGATCGATCTTTTTTTTAATATAACCAATATAGCAAGTTATAGAATATCAGACTTTTACTAGTAACCCTTAAAATGAAGTCAATACTCCAAAACAATCGGTTATATCATCTTCTTTAAGCTTAAGAAAATGTCTGAAATGGGTTGTGTAACCTACGGGCGAAATGGTAGCGTCTTACAGCCCCCTCAACAAAAAGGAACCGAATGGGATACAGGAAACAAATATTAGACCTATAAAGCCTGTGTAGTAGTAGTGACTCAAGTGGACTTCACCTCAGGTTTGAAAAGACACCTTTTGGTCATAAAGTCCACTCTTTTAAATTTGCTCACACATCAATATAAAGAACAACAAACCAGGCGAGTCGTGAATCTACAGTATTAGTATTAAAAAGCTGGAGGTGAGGAGAGTACAGTATTTTTTTAATATGTGATATATTACCAATCATGAGTTTACTTTGTGACCTGTGAGCATTATTGTGAAATCTTGTATCTTTCTCTGTTTATTTTGCATATAAAACACCAAATAAGCACGAAATACTTCAAACTATATGTGCAGGAATAGCTATGTAATGTGGTTATATTGCATCTACTCAAAGATAACTGTCAGTTATAGAGCCCATTACAGTATGAGGCTGTACAGTAAGTCTGCTGTAGCCATGCTTTGGAGCTGAAATCATAAGTTGATTAATCAATTGGCGGAAGCAACATTTTCTGGATCTAATATCAGGACATTTCTGTTTTCCCTTTGCTTTATATAGTTGTAAATGGACTCTCTTTGTGCTTCTGACTGTTGGCAAGTAATGTAAAGACCTCACCCTGCACTCTGTGAAATTGTGCCAAAACAATAATCAATACAGATTAATCAATTAGGAAAATAACTATTAGTGGCAGCCCTAAAATACTTAGCTTAGCTGCAAAAATCTGTCAATAAATCACTTACTCGATCAATAGATAGTTAATCAGCAGCTATTTTGATAATCATTTCATTTTTAAGTCGTTTTGTAAGCTGCTTCCAGCTTCTCAAATGTAAATATTTTCTGTTTTTCATGTCTTCTATGATAGTAAACTGAATAGCTCTGGGGTTTGGACTGTTGGCTGGACAAAACAAAGACGTTGAAGATGTTACCAAGGTGGTGTTGACTTTTAAAGAAGCAGTTTCTCCCCCTATTTTCCTTACATATACACCAATAAATAATTATTGCATTTCATTAAGACATTACTTATTAGTTGCAGATAGATATGCTTATAATAAATAATCCTATTGTACCAAGTGACAGTATTTTTTTCTGTCGCTACGCTATTGAAGCTTAGGTAATTTACAGTAGATCCAGTAACTAGAATCCAAGACAGAGAAGCTAAATCAGTTATTAACCCCCCTGAAAAACACCCTAAATCAACATTTAAAGCTGTAGGGTTTGAATTGTGCCAAGAGACAGCTGTGCCAAGTCTTACCCCGGCACACCACAGTTGGCCTGGAGTGGCCTCATTGAAAAGGATCTCTCTCCATTAGGACAGGATGAATTTTTAATGAGGCCAATGAAAGGGAGCAGTGGGATAGGCTTTCCCATATCTCTGCACGAGCCACAATCAATGGAGGGAAGATGAAAGTTGCCCAGCCCTTGGTTTCCTTTCGGAGTGGTATGGGGTCAGATTAAGTCTAATTGAATTCACACACACAGCAGTAGTTTAGGTGTGTCAGACCAATTTCCCCCTAAACACAGTATGAGGATTAGGATTAGCATGATAGCAGAAACATATGTTGTGGTAGATTTGTAAATGTTGGACTTTAATAAATACAGCAATGTACAGTACGTGTTGCTCACATGTTGTAAGACTGTTGCTCCTAAAATTTAAAATATTTGATTAATTCCTCTATACTAGCGTATAATTCACTGCATATGACTAAATATCCTAACATATTTACTTTAAAATACATTTAATTTAAAATACATACAAAATCATAACCATAAATCTGCCCCTATATAAGAGGAAAAATAGTCCTTATGTATCCTCACAACAATCATGACATCTGAACGGTTTAGTTAAATGTACCGTATGACAGCATGAACGATGATACACTAACAGGTTTTTGCCACAACTTGTTTTAAAGATGACATTGTCTTGGATCATCTCAGTCTTTCTGTTGTGTCATGTCTGAAGTTGCTCAATAAATTGATTTACTGATTGTTCAAAGGTAGATATAAATCGTGCACCTGCAATTCAAATACAATTTAAATCTAGTCATAAATAGCCAATTCATTACCATAATTTTTTTTGCCTTTTTGGGACAGAGGTTGCCTTTTATAAGAAAGAGATAACTCTTTTGCTCGCTGCCTCTAGTGAGCAGAAAGACTGAATTCATTAGCCAGCTGAATCAGAGTCAAGGTGTCCAAAAGCACATCCTTGGCCAATCAGGTCCCTTGGCCCATTGCTTGGCAACCAAAAGGAAAGGAAGGGAGCAAATTGACACTGTAAAAATAGCACATCAATAGCCTGGTGTCTGAAAAAAAAAGAAAGACACACATGTTGGTGGGACTATAAATAGCCTTCTGGAGCCTGGAACGGGTATCGTGTACAGTATCTCAACTGTATTGTTGCCTACGAATGAGACATTTTTGCATCAATGCAAATTCAACATGGGTTGTGCAAGCGGAGCTCAAAGTACAGTAACAGTCAGGCAGCTGAATGAAGTCATTTGAATGTGAGGGTGGATAATCTCTTTATCACTGTGTTAAAAAAAACAGGTTGGTATTCGTAGGCAGCAGTTTCTTCATCCTACTATTTGCCATCTGATGTTTTATATAGATGCAAAACTACAATGGCCTCTTCTGCAATAATAAATTTGAATGTACTATCACAATCAATAATGTGCTTGGACAAGTTTGCATGCCAGAGGGGATTTAGGGTTTAATGGCTTACATGCATAACTTGGGTGATATTGGACCTTTTCATATTATCTCATAATTACATCCGCATATTGTTCAGAGGCATCACGACAAGCTGCGTGCTGTATCTAGTCTTAACATATTATCTCATCATTACAATGGCACATTGTTAAAATGGGTCGTACACATCTTTTGTGTAATGGAAGAGTAGAGCACAACGTGGCCAAAAATAGATCTATCATGTCCAATTCAGTTTCACAGGACTGCTCAAAAATGAGCCCAATACGTGGGTGATCAAATCAAGTGGAGATAATAGGACGTCAATCTGAAGCAGCTTCTCGATGCCTATTTTTATCTGCACGTTCTCATTTTTTTGCCCACATGTGGCGACGCGCCCTGACGACCTCCATGTAGTACTTTCACTGTATCAAAGGCAATTAAAAGGTGTTGCAACAGTAGAACCTTAAAAGGCTTTATCAGGGCCGTCTTATCCATCAGACATCTCCCGGGGAGGCTGGCCGTTGCCAGGGTAACCCTCACAAATGGCAACTGACGTCAAGAAGGTAGGAGAAATACCAGGGAGAGCCAGAGCTGCTATGCATAATGGATTATTGAAAAAAGGGCCCTCTTGAGGAGTGCAAAGTGACTTAAAATATGCGTGCCTTGCTGGGCTTGCCACCACACTTATCTCTCTCCCTCTCTCTCTTTCTCTCTCTCTCTCTGTGATGAGGAAAATAGATGTTGACAGTTTCAGGGTTTTACTTGCTGACTGGGACAGCTTGGGCTTGACTGGCCCAATTTAAATTAACCATCTTGAGTCAAACACTGCTGATGAAATATCTCTTCAAAGGACACATTATGGTTTCTTTTCCTAGATTGGATCATTTTAATTCCATTTGTAAATATAAGTACTCTTGTCCTGTAAGCTGGAGTATGTGTGCTACTGTGTCTACATATGAATGCAAAACCTTCCCTTACTATACTCAAATCAAAATGTACAGCCACCTGCTCTGCATCTTACCCAATCTAAACCGAAGAAACAAATATTTGGCACATCAGCTATTACCACCACCAGCAGATCTTTTGTTGGCACGTAACGAGGATTCACAGTGACATTTATGCATAGGTTCTCAGAAGTGATCGCTTCAGATCCAAGTCCAGAGCGTAACTACCAGCAGTTTACTCTGTCCCTGTGTCAGGTTCTTGTCTAATCTCAGTACTGTTGTTGGCCCATGAGACTGTCACAGCGGCAGCTTGGTGAAGAGCCCTCATCGTTTCTGTGATAATGCCTCTCGTGTTGTGTTGCAGTCACACTATCGACAATCGGGACACCGATTGTGGAGTCAGGTTTGCCGATGGCAAAGGCCAAGTACTGTTGCTATCCAAATGAATTCAGCAGGACAGAAGCACGTACATGCAATAGGGAATTGAAATGGTGTCTATTTTGGGGTAGTATGGTGGAACATATGGATTTATCACCATCATAATGTCACAGGCGTATTTTAATATTAATATGCTATCACATTAAGTATGGATATTACGTGATAAAGAACCTAAAATTCCAGTTTATCTTCTTTGGAGAATAGAATAAAATACAACTTTATTGTCTACCAAGGTGTAATGGTCTTCAGCTCATGCACATAAATTCACCACAAAAACATATAACAGAACAAATAATAGAAACAGAGCATAAGTGATTACATGAAATAATTGGGGATAACATAAGAATATGAATGTGCTGCTTTCATAAATAAGAATTAATTAATTACAGGCATGCATGTTAAAAATAACTATTAACATGCATATATAATATATTTAAAAGGTTAATAATATCCATTAAGACTATCATGTGACTGAAATTTTATGTTAATCTAAATCTAAATAAGCAACATCATACATGTTGCCTGTCAAACATCTGTATTATCAGTTACTCCAAATAAAAGCACCTGTTATGTGTGTACAATGTACACGAAGGAGTCAATGAACACCAGAGTGAGTGGGCCTGAAGCTTATATCTTTTGTTTGTTTCAGAGAGAAGCTGCAGAGGAAATGTGCAAAGAGAAGAAGTGAGAGTGTTTCAGTCCAGGGGAATCCCAGACACTTCTGTAAATCAGGGGCGCAACAAGCAACGCAAAGCATGAACTAACATGCTCTGAGTTTCCAAAGAAGTGAATCACACAAGTCGTGCATGGGAAAAGAAATTAAAGGAAGTGAGGAACAACCCTGATGTGCTAATGCCACCCTTTTCAAATGGCTCCCGTTAGCAGCTGCAACACCATGATACCAGATGATCATTAATTTATTACCACAAGCCCTCAATTATTTTGATTTGACATTTTGGTGCACCGCAGGTTCAGAACATGAGATAAGACTCAAGTATGACTTCCTTGTTTCCTGAAAACCAAACACACCCCTTGATGCCAGAACTACAGATCTGTTTGATAATCTCACAGCCGAAATACAACAGTCACCAGTGTTTCCTCTGTTAATTCTGCAGTGTTGGAATTACTGTTAGTTCTGGCTCCACACCCATCTCTGTTGTAATCCAAATTATGCTTCTGGTGCAGATTTCAGATCTTATTTTGATGCTTTGTTTGAATAAAAATATTACATTAAACTGTAGGAATGTGCTTCTATGTGCCTTACTTGGAAATTTTACCAAAATATACAAAATCAGGCAGTGGTTGTAGTGATTTTGCTGCGGCAGTGAATCGCAGATGAATGAATGCAGAGGAAAGACCGGACAATGTGCACACCAACACACAACAAAAACTATAAATTTACAAAAAACAGTCAAAGCTTTTCTACCTTTTTCCTGTGCAGATGAGTAGCAGAGGAAGTGGGCGTTTTCTGCATACGTCCTAAATGAAATGGATTTCGAGTTGTACAGAGCGCTGTCGTTTCGGTTCTTCCTTTCAGCTGTGAGTGTAGATGCTGCTGGGAGGAGCAGTAAATGGAGAGAGAGACAGTGGTGGAGTATGAGGTAGAGCTGCTGAGTGGGAGGGTGAGCATATGGGGGCATGGAGGATGGGAGATGGAGTAGTATTTCTATTAAAGGGACAGAGTTTATTTCTACAATACTATAGTTCAAGACCTAACTGGATAAGTTACAAAAATTCTGTTATTTATGGCAAACATGTTGTGTTACTAACATCCGAGATGGGCTCAGGGTAATATACAGTACACGGTTACCTTTAAGAAAGTGGACACCACTCTGCTTGTAGGTATAGTTAGAATCTCCAATATTGAGGAAGATTCATCGATTTGGGGTAAAGGGGGGCTGAAATCTATCCGAGCACACACTGGGGGGAAGTCAAGTAAAGAGGAAGGGTCCAAAAGGAGATTAACTGTAAATCATTTACAAGAAATGCTCAGAAATGTTAAATAAGTATCAGTCAGTTTCTTGATGCAACCGAACCCATATTTGCCAGGTTTAGGTGGAACAGAGAATAATTACACAGGTACGTCTTATATAAGGCATGATAAATTAACCTCCTCTAAAAATTACATTTTTCACTGGAGACATATCAACATGTTGCAGTAGAAAAAGTACAGGCATGGCTGAATTCCATTTAGCCCCATGCTGGCTCATTGTCACACTGCCATGACTTACTGGGACACACAGAACGGAGGCGTTATTGATGTCATTACTAACACTTGTACGTTTCCTACTATGACAAGTCAAAATGTCTGCTGTGAAAAAGGCATACATGACTGTTTCTTACCAGGTCTCTTAAGTTATGCTTTTTTTTTACACTTGTAAATAAAGAGGGTTCCTTTGATAATGTTTGACTCGCTCTTTAGATCAGAACCAGTATAAACATTGGGATTATGCTGGCCGTCAAGACCATCAAGTTATAGGTACTGTACAATGGACACCTTTAAGCACTACTCCCATTGCCAATCCATCATAAGTTTTTTCATTTCATTTTTTTTTAAGTCCATTGGCTCAAATATGATAAATGTGTCTCAAATATGCCAATTATAACGTTTTTGCCTCTTTCGCTAATGGTCTAATGTAATATAGTTTTGTATATTTTGTGTATTTGACTGCAATTTCCCAGCTTGGGATCAATAAAGTACATCTATCTATCTATCTAATAGTCTCTTGCAAATGGATTTGGGCTACTTTGAGCCTGTGTCCCATGTAAGAATGTGCATGCAAGTAAAAACAGTTACCACAGACATATTTCATGAGGATTTTGAGCTTCGTGATGCTGAACGACGACCGTAATGTTACAAAACAGACACACAGACCTGAAATGAAACACCGACACTTGACCTATGTCCTACACAAATCCATGCTGACACAGCTCACAGATTAAGTGCACCCCATCCCTTTATGTAGGGGGGGTTAAAACACTCTTTTGGCCTTTTTGTGGTGCATTCAGGTGCAGAAACATCCCAAAGTTTACACTATAAACCCTCCATGTAAACAAACCGATTACTGTGCCGCTTGTGCACGACTAAACCCGAGCACAGACTCAAAAACCGTGACACACGACCAACGCAACGACTAAACGGACTAAAAAACAAACTATCCAAGCTGTCTTTTGCCCACTTTCACAGCAATTCACAACAACAAGACGGCGTCGTCACGGCTGGGTTAGCCCGTGGCAGCTAGCTCCCAGCTAACTCCACTAGCCGCCGCCTGTTATTATGAATTGTTATCAGACGACGCAGAAACAAAAAAGGGGGAAAAAGGGACGAAACAAAACAAGGCAAAGGCAGGACAGGTGCAAACCGGGGGGGGGTGCACTTCTTAAGGCTTGTGCGTGCGAGGAAAAGCACCCCCCCTCGTCCTCGTCCTCATCCATTTTGAACAATAATCGCTTTCAGGGTGATGTGATGAAGCCTCTGCTTACCTCTGGTCAGATCCAGCGGTACGTTTTCTTCCCCGCTGTCATTCCGACCTGTCAAAAAAAAACACACAACGCGGACACGTTGCGGGGTCACTGCGGGGTCAAAACGTGCGCGAGGACTTCTAGTTTTGCGTTGGCACACATTTGCGGGTTTCGCCGGCTCGAGTTTGTCACGCTTACCTCGCATCCGAAGACTCCGGATAGGACGGCCGCGGAAGCTGGCCGCCATGTTTCCAGGAACATACACACAACACCGGAAACTTCGCCGGTTCTCGCGAGAATACAGGACAAACGAGAGAGAGTGGGGGGGGGAGAGAGAGAGAGA